CAACTATGGTGGAGCAAACCTTCCATCCAAGCTCTCTGTGCAAAGGCCTCTACAAGGGTTCATTTCCACTCAGAGATGTGCCCCGTGGGGAGACAACCGTAGGAAGATCCTGAAGCGTGCCAGACACCAGTCTCGGAGCTTCGACGCCACGAAACAACTTGGCTGTTGCGTCTTGACGATGTCGAGTCGTGCCAGCACACGATTCGTGGGACTTCAACACTGCGAACCAACGTGATAGGTGCGCCCTCAATCCTGACTCGTTCCAAAGCACAGTTTCTGGTACGTTAACGCTACAAATGGGAATCCGCGAAGCTCTTCCAACTTCTGCCGTGCGGCGCTAAGGCGAGAGCCACATTTTGAAAAGGAGTCGCCATTACTCCGTGAGGCTTTTGTTTGTTACAGCGAATGCGCGCGGCGCTAAGGCGAGAGCCACATTTGGGCAACCCGCCCTCACTCCGAGAAGCCCTTGCAATTTGTCACAGCGCATGCGCGCCGCGCTTAGGCGACAGCCACATTTTGACAACGACCCGCCCTCAATCCGTGAAGCTCGTGCAACTTTTCAAGACAAGCGTGCGCGGCGCCAAGGCGAGAACCACATGTTGAAAACGACCCGCCCTCAATCCGTTAAGCTCTTGCAGATGTGTAAAGCGAGCGTGCGCGCCGCTAAGGCAAGAGGCACATGTTGAAAGCCGCCCGCCCTGTGAAGCTGTTGAAATTTTCAAGCTTGAGGATAATAGATGGCGACGCGCCCGGCCCGCCCTTCCGGCTAGTCTCGGGGTGCGGGAGGGAGGAGTTATTCAGACGGAGAAGGAATGAAGGATGAGGAGGAGGAGGAGGAGGAGGAGGAGGAGGAGGAGGAGGAGGAGGAGGAGGAGGATGAGGAGGAGGAGGAGGAGGAGGAGGGGGAGGGGGAGGGGGAGGGGGGAGGGGGAGTGGAGGAGGAGGAGGAGGAGGAGGAGGAGGAGGAGGAGGAGAAGGAGGAGGAGGAGGAGGAAATTAATATTGACCAGGAAGGGGAGGATGCGGCCTGCAGAGCGCGACTTGCAGTAGTACAAGAGCGATGCTGCAGGGAGATCCCTGTTCCGACAAACTTACGCGTTGATCCCCTCTTCCCCGCTCTCTCCGTTCCCCCACTTGCCCACTTTCCCGCTTCTATTCCGTGCCCCCATTCCCCCACTTCCCCGCTTACACCTTTTCCCCCCTGCCCCTTCCCTGGTCGCTCCCTCCTTCCTTTCTTCTCGGCCTTGTGCCGCTGCTGCTTTTCCTCCCCGTCTCTCCTCTTGCTCCCCCTCGTCCTCGTCCTTATCCTCCAACTCCCTCCTCTTTCTCTCCCTTCCCCTCCGCCTTCTCCTTCTCATCCTTTGCCTCCTCCTCCGCCGTCCTCCCATCTCCCCTCCTCCTCTTTCTCGCGCGTCCATCGGGACCCCCTCACACAACTGGCCCGCGCCCGGGCGGTCGAGGCTCCCAGTTAGGAGCCGCGTTCCCCTCCATGCCTCCTGCTGAACTGCTCTTCTCGCACGACACCACCACTGTTTTATTACGCACGTGGTAGCTGACGTCCCTTTGCGCCATACCACGTCCGAACCCGCATCCCCCGGTTCTTGAGCTCCATCTCGTCCAGGGTCACTGTGGCCTTCTTAGCCTCCGTTGCTGTGGAGAAGCGTACCTGACGGTATCCGAACGATCTGCCGTAGACGGCCCCGTCCTCTGTGAGCATTCAGCAGAATTCCACGCTGCCCGCCTGCTTCATATGGCCCTTAAGGTCGCGCCAGTTCACGTCATAAGACAAGTTTCCCGCGCAGACCTGGCTTGTAGCTGATGACGTCGGCTCTTCCACGCCTCGCCCCGTCTGCCGCCACTGCTGTCCTTTCTCGCGCTCTCTGTCCGCACTGCGGCTGGCTTGCGGTGTGCCGCTGCGCTTGTTTAATGCGTACCTTTCCCTCCACACCCTGCCCCCGTCCTGTTCGTCCCCCGGCGTCGCTGTCAGACATCTCCTGCTCCTTCTCCTTCTCGGCTTCTCTTCTGCTTTTCTTGACGTCCCTGTAGCCTAGGCGACCGAGTACATATGCATAGCGGGCGGTGTACAAGCCTGCAAGGACACTGAAAACGGTATGGACACGGCGTTCCGCGTGCCACGCTGTAGCTGATGGCGTTTTGTATCCAACCTTTGCCGCCACTGCCCCATCTGCCAGCACTTCTCGCACCACTGCTGGCCCTTCTCGCGCACCACTGCTGGCCCGTCTCGCACTTGTAATCCTCCCTTCTCGCGCCACTTCTTGCCCTTCACGCACCACTGCCGGCCCTTCTCCCACCGCTGCCGGGCCCTCTCGCATGAGGGGACTGGCCCCAACATTCTAGCTGATGACGTCGGGTTCTTGCTTCGCAGCCACACCACTGTCGTAGCTGATGGCATCGGACTCGTGCTTAGCGACACCACCCTTGTAGCGGATGGCGTTGGGCTCATACTTCCCTGTGCCACCCTCGTAGCTGATGGTATCGGGCTCGTGCTTCTCTGCGCCGCCTTCGTAGCTGATGGCGTCGGTCTCGTGCTGCGCGTCCCCACCCTGGCAGCTGATGGCGTCGGGCTTGTATTTTGTGTTGCCACCCTCGTAGATGCTGACGCCGGGCTCGCAGTTGGTAGCTGCCACTGCCTGCCTGCTACCGCTACAACTGCCTGCCACAGTTGCTCCCTCTCTCACGTTGCACCCTATTGCTGCCCTTCTTGCACAGCCACTGCCGCCCCTTCTTGCACGGTGCGAGCTGCCACTGCCACCTTTGTCGCACTGCCTCCCGGCTGCCACTGCCAGAATTCTCACACTGTACACTGCCCAAGCTGCCACTGTCCTGTTGTGCTCACTGTTCTGTGCCCCTGGCCTCTCTATCCCAAGCCTCTTTATCCAAAGCGTCTCGATGGAGCCTACTTGCGCTGCTGCCGCTGCCGGTCGGCGCAAGGGCTGCCAGCACTGCTCGCTCTGCCTGGTTCTGCCACTTGTCCTGGCTATACCACCAGTCGTGCCGTGCACGGAGTTTGACTTCGAGCTCTACTATGTGCTGCTTCTGAACTCGCAGCTGGTCCATTGCTCTGTGCTGCGCCGCCGTCTGGCGCTCCTTTCTGGTGCGACGTAGGTCTCGGGACCAGTGGCTGCCCTTCGTGAACTGCAGCTGCGCGAGCCACGGTGCCTCGCCTTGCCGCGCCCGCGCCATCTCAAAGGCTCCCATCGCGGCGCGTGCCCCGGGGATGTGCGCCTGGGGCCGTCCTGACGACCGCCCCTCCCGAGGGAGCGGGCTCGGTTCGGGCCCCCGATGGCCCCTTCCCTCCTCCTCCTCCTACTCCTCCTCCTCCTCGTCGTCCTCCTCCTCCCTTGCCGAACCTCGATTGATACGCTGTGCTCCTCCTCCTCCTCCTCCTCCTCCTCCTCCTCCTCGCTTCTCCTCCTCCTCCCTCCCTCCTCGTCCTCCCTCCCTCCTCCTCCTCCTCCTCCTCCTCCGTCTCCGTCTCCTCCTCCTCCTCCTCCTCCTCCTCCTCCTCCTCCTCCACTCCTTCCCCCCTTCCCCGGCTCTTCTTCTCCTTCTCCCTACTCCCCTCCCTGCTCCCTCCACAGTTACACACTATGAGCACTACTCTCCTGTCTCCCCTGGTGACGTCTGGGAAATATTCGGCCCCTCTCCGCGTGTTGGTTTTTGGTACAGGATTCCTGGGGCACGTATTTTTTTTTTTTTTTTTTTTTTTTTTTTTTTTTTTTTTTTTTTTTTTTTTTTTTTTTTTTTTTTTTTTTTTTTTTGTTGTTGTTTTTTTTTGTGTATGGGGAAACAAGTTATTTACTTTATTCATGTGCTTATGTATTATTTTATTTATTCATGTATTTGTTATATACATAATGTATATACAGCTTATTATTATTAGTATTAGTATTAGTATTTTTTTTATTATTAGTATTATTATCATTATTATTATTATTAGTATTATGATTATTATTCTTACGATTATTATTATTACTATTTTTATTCTTATATTATGATGATTATTATTATTACTATTATTATTATATATATAGCAAAAATTATGTAAGAAAGAAAAATGCTGCTCTCGCTGAAGCGCTGGTCTCATTTTCGGGCTACGGCTCGTTCCGAATCGTGCTCCCGCTGCAGCGCTGGCCTCATTTCCGCGCTTCCGCTCGTTCCGAATCGTGCTCCCGATGCAGCGCTGGCGTCATTATTTCCAGCGCCATGCCACGGCATCGTTTTCGGTTCTTCCAAATAGGCCCCAAAATCCAGAACATGATCCCCCGAAAAAACCGTCGGAAGTGATTACACATTCGGTGCCGATTCGCTGATTTTTTGGGTCGCAGAAGCCCCCCCACTTTGAGGCGTCGCCACGCCATGCTATGTCAGGCTACGCGTCCTCCGAATCGTGCTCCCGCTGCAGCGCTTGTCTTATTTCCGTGCTTCCGCTCGTTCCGAATCGTGCTCCCGCTGCAGCGCTGGCGTCATTATTTCCAGCGCCATGCCACGGCATGGTTTTCGGTCCTTCCAAACAGGCCCCAACATCTAGAAAGTGCTCCCCCGAAAAAGCAATCGGACGTGATTACACATTCGGTGTCAATTCGTTAATTTTTTGGGCCGCTGAAGCCCCAACACTTTGGGGCGTCCCATGGTATGTCAGGCTACGCGTTGATCTTCACCACCATGCTATGCTATGTAATGCTATGCCCTGCTACGACATCCGATCGTGCGAACAGCGAGGAGATCTGCGCCCCGGTCAGGGACGGGAGGGAGGGGTAGGACGCCAGATAGGACGCGAGCGCACCTGGCTTCTCCTCCTCCTCCTCCTCCTCCTCCTCCTCCTCGCTCTCCTCCTCCTCCTCCTCTCTCCTCCTCCTCCTCCTCCTCCTCCTCCTCCTCCTCCTCCTCCTCCTCCTCCTCCTCCTCCTCCTCCTCCTCCTCCTCCTCCTCCTCCCCCTCCTCCCCTCCCCGTCGCCTCTGGGGCCCCCTTCGCCGAGGCGCAGGGCGTGGGCGCCGGCCAGGCGCTCCTCTACGAGGCCTGGGCCTCCTGCCTGGAGCGGGCCCACCGGCACGCGGAGGCTGGCGAGGCGCTGCGGCGGAGGGGGAAGGGGAGGAGGAGGAGGGGAGGAGGGGAGGAGGAGGAGGAGGAGGAGAGGAGGAGGGAGGAGAAGGAGAAGGAGGAGGAGGAGGCGAGGAGAGGAGGAGGAGGAGGAGGAGGAGGAGGAGGAGGAGGAGGAGGAGGAGGAGGAGGAGGAGGAGGAGAGGAGGAGGAGGAGGAGGAGGAGGAGGAGAGGAGGAGGAGGAGGAGGAGGAGGAGGAGGAGGAGGAGGAGGAGGAGGAGGAGGAGGAGGAGGAGGAGGAGGAGGAGGAGGAGGAGGAGGAGGAGGAGGAGGAGGAGGAGGAGTTGGAGGAGGAGGAGGAGGAGGAGGGAGGAGGAGGAGGGAGGAGGAGGGGAGGAGGAGTTCTCGAATCTCCTCCTGCCCCCCCCCCCCCCTCTTCCCTGCCCCATCGGAGTCGTCGCCGGGCTGGGAGCACGCCGAGGGACGTGCTCGCGTCGCTGGGGCTCGCTCCTCCTTCTTGCCCCTCCTCCGCCGCTCCTCCCGTCGTGCAGGCCCTCGACCTGTCTTCCACTCCCTCGCTGGGAGAGCGGGCGCGGGATGACAGCGATCACGAGAAGAGTGGGGCCGGGGAGGGGACGGAGCAGCGGCGAGCGAGGCCGGGAAGCAGCAAGCAAAACAGGGAGCGGGAAGCATGAGAGGGCCCGCCGTTCTTCCTCTCCCCTTCCTGGTAGTACAGTCACACCTGCTCGCTGCTAGTTGTTACTGCTTGTCGCTGCGCCTGTGCTGTACAGTCCCTCGGCTTCCTGGGCTCGTTCCCAGGCAGCCGGTCCCGCAGTGCCCATCGCGCTGTAGCTGGATCTCCCTGGCACACAAATCTTCTCGCCCCTCCTTCCTCTTCCTCCTGCTCCTCCTGCGTGATGGCGCCTCTTTTCGCGTGTCCGTCATGCGCGCTTCTTGTCGCGCTGTCCATGCCCACACCGCTGCCACCCGTGTGCGGACGCTCGCGGCTGACACAACAGGCACGACATGAGGATTGCCCTGCGTTTCTCGCTCGGAGTGAGGAGTGAGGACCTTGCCCGCCTCATTTTGGGCCCTCGCCCTCCTATTTCTCCTGCCCCTGCCCGCCCTTGTCCGCCTCATTTTTGGCCCTCGCCCTCCTCCCATTTCTCCTGCCCCTCCCGCCCTGTCTGCTCCTCTTCCCATCACCCTCTTCATGATCCCTCTTTCTTTCCGCCTCCTCGTCCCGCCCACTCTCACTCTCGTCCCTCTTTTCCATCACCCTCCTATTCCTCTTCCTCCTCACCTGCGTAACCCTCATCCCCATCCTCATTCTACTCTCTTTCTCTCCTCCATGCTGGTGCTGCTCACTTATTTCGCCTCCTCCCCCGTGCTCCCCCCGTCGCTCTTTATCTCTCACCTTGTCCCTCCCTTTCTCCCTGTCTCTACCTCTCTCCCTCTCTCCCTTTCACTGTCTCTGTCCCTCTAGAAGCACCCAACTTGAATTCTACTCTTCTTCCCTCCTCCGAAGATGACTGGGGAGGAACACCCCCCCATCTGCGTATGGTTTTCTGTCGCACGCGAACTTTTAGGATCCCGTTTGTTCTCGGACCTTCAGACAGGGGCTGCCGCTGCAGCGAGGGTCCGATTTTTGGATCGGCGCTCTGCTCCCGTCGTTAGGCAATGTCGCCCTGGCGCGGGCCACTTTTCTGGATCCGAGTCCTTCCTCATCGCTGTCGCCCCTGTCCTTTACCCTCCTCCGCCTTCTCCTGGTCCTCCTGCGCCTCCCACTCCTTCCGCTCCAGCTCCTGATGCTGTTGTTCGTCCTTGTCCTCCTCCCTCGTCCTCCTCCTTTTCCTCCTGCTCATCTTCCTGCTCATCCGCCGCTTCCTCCTCCACTGCACGCAGCTCCTTTTTTCCGATTGTGCAGAGCACGACAAGGGGCCCTCTTGGAACTCCAGGCTCGCTGTGACACGCGTCGGCGGATGGAGGACACATCGGAACAATGGGACAGGGATGGGTGAGGTGGGTCGACGATCAGGTATAGCGCGAGCGCGCCCAGCATGCCCTCCCCCCCCTCTCTCTGCTCTCCCTCCTCCCTCTGTCTCTCCCTCTCCCTCTCTCTGTGTTTCTTATTATATATATATCTGTATGTATTGCAGTTCTACATCTCTTTATCGCTTTGGGTCCTGCTCTGCCCGTGCCCGTTGACATATGTGCTCAAAGTGCTGAAGGGGCCGCCTCCGGCGTGCATGGAGGTCCTCTGTTCTCTTGCACCAACTGCTGTGAGACTAGCAGAGGCCCTGGTGCTGCGCTGCCCAACCTGTCCAGCGTGCCCTGCGTGCACGTGCCCGGCGGTCAGCTGTGCATTGACTTGTGCGGGGCCCGCTAGCACCAGCCATATCGTGGTGTAGGAGCGGGACTGGATCGGGCTGTCGGCCGCTTTCCTCACCGGCATCGCGCTGCTGCGAGGCTGGGACTGGTGCTACGCCGCCTACGACAGGCGCCAGCACCTTCGCGCCGCGGGCGCGCCCCAGCCGCCTGCGCCCGCGCGTTCGCCCCAGGCGCCCGCGCCCGCGGTGGCAGCCAAGGCGGTGCAGGAGCAGGTGCCGACCCACATTCTCGTGGCGACTCCGTCTAGCCGTCGCCGGCTCTGAAGGATCGCTCTTTGGACATCAAATAGTTTCAGGTGTGGGTGCATTTCCCGAATGACGCCAACGGTTTCTTGTGGCACATGCGTATCATCTTGGTCAGGGCTGGCGCTGCGGGAGTATGGGTGACGCTCACGCCGACTCTGGATTTGTACACGCACGACTTGAGTTCGACTCGTCACATCGTTTTGGGTCGGAACGCAGCGTGGCCAGCCCGAGTGAATAGGAATGAGATCTTCGGCTTTGATCCCATCACGCGGGTCGAGTTGAACCAGTTCATCCAGCTGGCTGGGGTACAGGCTCGAGTGCCGGCTGATGACAACGAGGACGCCGAGGCCCTCGACATGATTTGGCTGCGTGCTGGCCCAGGCTTGGAGAGGCTGGGCGAGGTCGTGCCGCAGGACATCGCGGACGACCAGGAGCGGTTCACAGAGATCGGGGACGGCGGTGGCAGAGGTGAACGGCACAGTGATCTGGGCTGCCAGAGTGAACGCTGGCGATCGCGATGCCTGGCTCAAGGAGCGTCAGGCGGCCGAACGCGACGGCAGAATCATCGGCGTGCACCTCCGCAACGGCAAGCGCTACATCATGCTGAAGGAGGCGCTTGCTTTGTACTCACAGGTGAAGTATGACGATTGGGCCTTCCCTGGACCACGTCTCGCCATGGAGTATCTCACCCTGGTCGACCAGGCGGGAGGATTCGAAGTGTATGAGCGTAATTGGCAGCATGATTCAGGTGTGTTTCAGGGCTCCGCCGCCTCTCACCAGCATCGAGCAAACTCGGAGACGTTGCGCCTGCTGGTCGAGGTAGATCAGGTCGACGCCTCGAACCTCCAGGGGTTCGAGAACCTTTTCAGGCGGCAGGTGCAGCTCGAGATGGCGGTGGAGCGGGACCCGTCCCACCCCGACTTCACGGGGCTCGAGGAGGTCATGGGCGGCGCGGTCACCGCCTCGGGCGCGGCCAGCGTCGTGTCCTTCCGCGAGTGGGTTGCTGGGCGCCAGAAGGATCGGGCCACGGTGCTCAAGCAGGCGAGGCTGGAGCGCGAGTTTTTGGTTGTGAGATTTCGGTCAGGATAGCGAGCTGAAGGTGCAGATATTCTCTCTAGTGGATGGCTTCAATCATGTGCACCTTCCACTTCGCCAGAGATCTGATCTTGAGAGTTTTCTGGACTGCTTAACCTCAGGCCTGTCTTCTGGAGAGAAGAGAAAATGTTGAGGCTGACGCCGTGCCCGAGTGCATTGGGATATGTTGGCTGGTCAATGTGGTTGATGGGCTCCTCGGGTCATCTCTTGGCACTCCTGAAGATTTGCAGATCCTGATAGAAGGCCTCGACAACACACAGCGTCTCTGGGCAGAGAACTTAAAGTTGAGGGTGCATTGCAGTTCTACATGTCTTTATCGCTTTGCGTCCTGTCCTGCCCGTGCCCGTTGACATATGTGCTCGAAGTGCTCCAGCCGTCTTCCCCGCCACCACCCTCGACGACCACCTCTTTACCATCTTTTTTTTGGGCACGATAGCGAGCTGAAGGTGCAGATGTTCTCTCTAGTGGATGGTTTCAAACATGTGCACCTTCCACTTCGCCAGAGATCTGATCTTGAGAGTTTTCTGGGCTGCTTAGCATCAGGCTGTGCATCGGCCTGTCTTCTGGAGGGGCGAGAAAATGTTGAGGCTGACGCCGTGCCCGAGGGCTTTGGCATATGTTGGCTGGTCAATGTGGTTGATGAGCTCCTCGGGTTATCTCTTGGTGCTCCTGAAGATTGTAGATCCTGATAGACGGCTCGACAACGCACGTCGTCTCTGGGCAGAGAACTTGAGTTTCTGATGATTATATATATATGTATACATATACACACATACATATATATATATATATATATATATATATATATATATAAAAATGTCTGGTTCTCCTTCTCTCTCTCTCTCTCTCCTCCTCTCCCTCTGCCTCTCTCTATGTCTCTGTCTTCGTTTTTCCCTTCCTGACGGGTGCTGGGTCCTCGTTTTGAACCCGCAGCGCCGCGCATCTCTTTCCTCATCCTGCTCCTCGTCCTTCTTCCCGTCTCCCCCCCCCTCGTCTGCTCTCTTCTCCTCTCCTCTCCTCTCCTCTCCTCTTCTCTCCTCTCCTTCTCCTCCCTCGTTCGATGCATTATAATATTCTTCTCTCTTGTCGTTTTGGCGTACATGGTGTCCCACCCTATTTCAGCAGACCCCGTACACGTTTCGTAGCCTGATAAGGAGCTCCACCGAAGGCACCAGTTGCTGGGTTCGGCAGGCCCCTTGCACGTTTCGTTTCCCCATATGGAGCTCCACCGAAGGCCCCAGTGGCTGGGTTCACATGGTGCCCCGTCCCGCTTCGGTAGACCCCTCACACGCTTCGTGGCTCTATAGGGAGCTTCGCCGAATGCCCCAGTGGCTGGGATCACATAGTAGACCGCCCCAGCGCGGCAGACCTCTCACACGTTTCGTGGCCCCACACGGGGTTCCACCGAAGGCCTCAGTGGAGTAGTTCACATGAGTGTCCCGCCCTAATCCGGCAGACACCGCACACGTTGAGTGGCCCCAAGGGGTCTCCACCAGAGGCCCCAGTGACTGGATTCACCTGGTGTTTGGCCTCATTTCGGCAGACCCATCACACGTTTCCTGGTCCCATAGGGAACGCAACCGTAGGCTGCATTGGCTGCGTTCGCATTGTGCTCTGCCCAATTTCGGCGCACCCCTCACACTCTGCGCTGCCGTGCGTGAATGGGAAACGTAGGTGGACGGTGGGTACAAACAAAAAACGAAGACAATAGACTTCAGCTCAGTCCTGAAGCCCTCGCGGCAACCTGCTTCGTAGTGCAGCACGAAGGAGTCCCTGAGCATTCGACAACTTTGGAGCCAAGGACGCCGGAACTTTCTTCATTTGAGATAACAGTCGGGCGTGCTTCTCGCATCGCTGCAAACTCTTGATGGCATCCCAGCGCCCTCTGCGACGGATGAAATCGAGTGTGCGGCGCTTTCTCAACAAATCATTGCTCGGCCCAGAGCGTCGAAGCACGCGTGGGGTGACGTTGAGAGACGAGAGGCCAAGCGCCGTGACAGCTCGCTGGATCTCTTTCTCATACAAGTGCAACGTGAGGCGCGGGAAGAGCAGCGCCTCCTTAGGCGTCGCATGGTGCAGCAAGGAGAGCAGCTCCACAACCCACTCGTGCCCGTGAGAGCCGCAGGTAACATGGTAACATGCTCGTCGACGTTGCCAGTCTCGGTGCGTTTGCCTCTGTCAGAAGGGCCGAAAACGACGGCCCAGTTTCGGTAAGGCGCAGCTGCTGCCGATGTAGGAGCGATAACGTCATCATAGCGCGTAAGTCGAGGATCTCTGAGGGCCGAGCGTACAGATTATATTGGAGGATGCCTGCCGCAGCCGCCTCCACACCGTCGTTCTCAGCCAGCCACAGGAGGATGAGGAAGATGATCTCCTCGGGGCTCGGCTTGATGACGAACTCGCGAACTAGCTTCGGCCAGCCCTTCAGAGCCTCTATCGCGGGGTCAAGGTCGGTCAGCGTCACTTCGCGATTGTTCGACTTGAGCTCGACCCAGCCGTGCACCGCCAGACGGCCAACAGCGGGGCTATAACCAGACAGAGCCAACCTCTCAAAATAGCGCTCCATGGTCTTGGCCAGGGCCCGAGGCGGCCGCAACGGCATGCCGCACCTCTGGACCCAGGAGACGAAGTCAGCCGTGGCCTTCCTGTAGTGCTCCAGCGTCGACAGGCCCGCCGTGCCCCGGCGGAGAAAGCCAGGGCTGGTGTCGCCTCCCGTGCGGTGCTTGAGCTCCCCCACAGAGCCGATGCGATCATGCCAGCTGCGTTTGCATGGCGGTGCCGCGGCCGGCGCAAGCGCAGTCGATGCCTTGCCTCTCGATCGCCTTGGCTGCCCTCGTCGTGAAGAAGACACCCTCGCCGCCTTGGTCACCTGGTGTGGTGTGCCTCGAAGTCGATGCTGCACGGCGCCGCCGTCGACGTTCGCTGGTAGCGACGGCCTCCCTGAGAGAAGCTTCCCAGCTCTGGAGCCAACCCGGCTGGGAGCCACGAGCGGCGCCAGGGGCGACCCGCCATATGGCGCGAGCCCATGCACGACAGAGGACAGGCGGATACGCCCCTGCTGCAGCCGTGCGGCGCACCCACTTGAGGTGGCCATCTGAGCCAACGAGGCGACAACCACCGGTCAGATGCACATGTTGGTGGTCTCGCTTGCAGAGAGCTTCCAAGGTAACCAGGCTGGGTGAGTTAGTTCGGATCACGGTAGGTTTCTTCCATGGCACTGAATACTGGCACTGATCAAAAATCACCTTGACAACTCCAGGAAGCCCACTGAGCTCGAAAATCGGGTGGAAGCTCAAAAAATTTGAACTCCTGGGGTTTTCGATTGACCAGGCTACTCTCTGACACTCACGAGCGACCTCCGCCGAAAAAATAGCCAACTCTACCACCACAAGTTCCTGCTGCCGAGCCCGCTCCCCGTCCTTGATGCCTCTCCTAGATATAGACCAGATAGAACACGGGGTGCCCATGTGGACCCAGAAGACCCTGCTGGAGCGCATCAAGTGGAGGACCAGGCGTTGCGTGCTTCTACGCGCAAGGTCAAACTCTTCACCACGAGCCATTTCGAACGCAGGGCCGACACGTAGCCCCAGTCGTCGCACAGCCCGAGAGAGCCCCGCAGAGCGCGCAAACAGCTCCAGGAAGACCATCTCATCACGATAAGTCGACGTACCTCGGCCGCCAGGGCCGCCTCCAGAGGAACCCGCGGAAGTCCAGGGGGGCGGCGGACAGCACTGCGTAGACCGCGGTGGCGCCGCAGGCGTAGCCGATGATGACGAAGATGGGCAGGGAGGCTGATGTTCTTCGGCGAAGCGTTCAGCGGTACTTTAGATTCCTCAACGTGTTCTCGTGTTTTGACTGGTCCTGTTATTAGCGGCCACGTGTTTAGGCAGGCTTGGGTTCTGCGCCAGACTTTTTTTTTTGTTCTCTCCCATCTCTCCCTGTTAATTTATATGTATATATACACAATCAAATACATGTATATACACATTATATCATTTTTTTGTTTCTCTCTCTCTCTCTCTCTATATATTTCGCTCCCTCTCTTCAATTCCCGCTCTGTCGCCTGGCCGGTCGACTGGCCCGACACGCGCCTGCTTTCCCTTGGCTCCACACTCCACAGAGCCGATCCTGTCGGTTTCGGTTGCCGCTCCCGGCCGCGGCCGACGGCTCCTGCGGCGCGCAGTGGCGATCCCGAGCCCTGCGCCGGGCCACTGGCGCCGTGCTGCATGCGCTGGGCCACTGGCGCCCTGGCGCGTTCCACTCCGAGGCTTCCGTCTTGCCACGGCGCCGCTGCCTGGGTGGCAGTGCCTCGCCGAATGTCCTCTGCATGCGGTGCCGCGGGGGGGGGGGGCGGCCAAGAAGAGGGGGATGATGACTAGGGAGGGGTCATGATATCCACGGGCCATGATTTGCACCCCCTCCTCCTGGACGCCCCCCTCTTGGACGCCCCCGCCGCGGGGGGGAGGGGACCGCTGCGCCCGGGGAGGCGTCCTGCCACGGCGTTTCCCTCCTCTGGGCCCCTGCCCCGCGGGCACCCCCCCCAAGTGGTCGGGCGCAGCGCGCCGCTCGGGGCCTCGCTTCTGCCCAGCCAGTCGTGCGCCTCGTCGCGCGCTGGGGGCCGTCTTGCTCCTCGCCTCTCGTGCAGCTCGCTGTGCGCCGGCCCCAGGCGCGGGGTGCTCTCTCGGCTTGCCGCGCGGCGCCAGGACAGACACTGCCCGAAGATGCGCCGTCTTTCTCTTTGTGTCTCTCCCTCCCCCTCTGCCTCCCCCTCCTGCTCTCCCTCTCCGTCTCTCTCTCTCTCTGTCTCTCTCTGTCTCCCTCTCTCTCTCTCTCTTTTCGTCTCTCTCTCTCTCTCTTTATCTTTATCTTTTTTTGTGCTCTCTATCTCTCTTTCTCTCCCGCCCCCCCTCGGTGTCTCACTTGTCTCTTACCGCGCGCGCTCGCTATAATTATCCGTCTTGCAGCAGCACTCGTTTCCTCCTCTCCTGGCGGCGGCGGGCCAGGTGTACCGCCGTGGTCTGGCAGGCAAGGCGGAGCCGCAGGATAGTCCGCTCTCCTCCCGTGGTCTGGAAGATGCATGGGCTGGCTGATGTGGCTTCGGACTTGACTGTTCGCTTCATCTGGGGCGCTCCAGAGAGGCCCTCGCTTTCGACGCACCTCGCTTTCAGTGGAAGCTGGCGGAAGTCCCGCGGAAGACGGCGGAAGTAAACCAGCGGCGGGTCTTCTGGTAGAAGCTTAGCGGAAGCGGCGAAAGTTCAAGCGAGACGTCAACAGTGTTTTGGATCCGGGGTTTTCAGAGTCAGCCATTTAGGGAGGGATCGGGGGAAGGGGATGAGGGAGGTGTAGCAGGGGAAGGGGGGGAGAGTGGAATGGAGGTGAGGTTAGAGTATGGAGGCAGGGGGCCGAATGTGAAAATCTGCGCCAGCCCTCTTCGCAGACGAAGAGGGACTAGCTGTAGTAATGTTTGTTGCAGTGGTCGGCGAATTACTTGTGGTCTGATTGCGTTATCGTTTTGTCTTGTGCCAAATAGCATCCGAGCTTCTCGGGCCGTCTAAGGGGCCTCTTCGGGGCTTCTTGGGGGCCCCTTTGGCATTTTTTCTCCATTTTGGAGGACTATTGGGGGAATCTTGGGCTGACGGAGGCCCGAAAAGGTGAGAACGCGGCGTACGTTGGTGGGAACCTATGAGAATCCATGCCTTTGATTCCCTCTGGCTACTACTGGAGGACCTCTTGGAGCCCCTCTTGGGCCGTCCGTGGGGGCCTCTCAGGCCGTCGCCATCTCGGGCCGTCTCGGGGCGATCCCGTGCTGTCTTGGAGGCACCTCTGGGGCCACGTCGGCGGCCGTGGTGGCCTGCCTCGGCCGTCAGTGAAGCGGTCTCGGGCAGCTCGGACGCCCCCGGTCAAGGGGGGCGGCGCACGCGACGGAGCGGGACGAGGGGGGGGGGGACGCTTGGAGGAATCTGGAAGCCTTGCCAGGCAGTGCTTGGCATTCTGCCACGCCTCAACGTGTCAGGGCGCACGGTGGCGGACGTCCAGTGGTTCTGTGAGCACGGAATTCTGCCATGTGGCTTGCTGACCGTGCTTCGCGGTGTATTCGCGTCGGTTGCCTTACGCGCTGTTCTGTTTTTGGCGGCTGGCTGACTCGTATCCGACGCGATGCTGCCTCCCATGCCCTCATGGCACCCTCTGCGTTGCACTGGATGGGGAATGCGTGGCAAGCCACGAGGAAACCTTGGTCTGTCCTTTCTATTCTGTCCCTGTTTCTTTATCGCTGTCGGGAAGTCGACCTGCTTGGCGGGAGGAGGACTCCTTGGGGCCTGGGTCGAGAAATCGACCTGGGGGGGAGGAGGACTCGCTGGGACCCGTGGGGGAGGAGCGTGGGGGGCTCGGGTCGGGAAGGGGGCCCGGATCGGGAAGGCGACCTGGGGGGAAGGACTTCCTGGGGCCCGCGGGGCAGGAGCGTGCGGGCTCGGGTGGGGAAGTCGACCTGGAGGAGAGCAGGATTCCCTGAGGCCCAGGTCGGGAAGTCGACCTGGGAGGGAGGAGGCCTCCCTGGGGCCCAGAATGGTGCATAGACCCCCCTCGGTCGAGGTTAGGAGGCTGTATACACAATCCCAGGGCCTAGGACGGTCCTGGCCAGAGGTGGTGGTGTCGGTGGTGGTGTATCGCTGCCGTTTCCGACCTGGAGGGGACGAGGCGAAGTGAGATCAGACGTTGCGAAATTTTGCAGCATCGCGGGAATTCGCGACCAGAGCCCTAGACCCCATCTTTCTGCGGCATCCTCAAGCCGGATCGATCAGTGATGGTCCCAGGGCCCGAAACAAGGAACAAAAGCGCCCGTTTTGTGAAAACATGGAGAATGCCAGGATCTCAGGGTGGTTCCTCCATTGGTCGGCGGCGAGCCCAGGGGGGAAGTGAGAAGGGGATTGGTCGGCGGCGAGCCCAGGAGGGAAGTGAGAAGGGGCGGGCCTTCTCAGAAGGCTCGGAAGTCCCCTGGCCTTCTGAGAAGTTTCCTGAGGTCTCCCCGAAAACACAGAAAACCTTTCAGAAAGCCTGAGGCCTTCTGAGAAGCCCCGCCGCCTCTTCAGAAGGCTCAGGAGGGGAACAAACGCACAGACACAATTAATCGCCGACCCCCAGGAACATGCAAGAACATATGGGGAGTGGGGCGGAAGACGACAACTCCGAAGATAGGGGGAAACATGGTGAATCCTGGGATTCGTGTCTATTTATTTGTGTGTCCCTGGGCTCCTTTCAAGGCTCGCCGCCGAATTGGGAGCTCTCCTGCTTCTTCCTGGGCCCGGCCGTCAGCGCCACCGCGGCGGGCACCCGCCCTCGGGGGCGGCCAAGAGGGGTCAGGGGCAACGACAGGGGGGGGGGGGATGGCAGAAGGGGGGGATGCATCGACTCCCAATCGCCCACTGATCGCCGACAGGGGCCCGAGAGCCTTCTCCTGGGCCCCACCCTGCGGGCTCTGGCGGGGCCCGGCTGCGGGAGCCGCAGGCCCGCCTCCGCACCCGCCTGGCCGAGTTCGAGCGGCGGGCACGCCGGCACTCGGCGCCGGTGCAGCAGGCGCCCCCCGGCTGCCACTGCTGCCGCGAAGGAGGAGGAGGAGGAGGAGGAGGAGGAGGAGGAGGAGGAGGAGGAGGAGGAGGAGGAGGAGGAGGAGGAGAGGGAGGAGGAGGAGGGAGGGAGGGAGGGAGGGAGGGAGCTCCGGGCCACCATGGACGAGGGCAACATCACCTTCGAGGCCTGGTGGGCGGCCGTGGGCAAGTGCAAGGGCATCGCACTCTGGAAGGGGAAGATCGAGACCCTCAGCGGCGGCAGCCACGCAGTCAACGGCTTGACTATCGAGACGGTTGGGCAGGCCGTTTTCCGCCACGTCGACTCGGACGGGGAGTGGAGCCCGGTGCCTCTCCAGCCGTCCCCCTGAGTCACCCAAGAGCGTGCGTGCAGACCCCGGTGGGGCAAGAGCTGGGGCTATGGCTGTATCTTGTCGGGTGTTTGCAAGATTAGCATGGTGCTCACAGTTCTGTGGTGCGTGTTGCAACTCTGGTGTTTCATACTCTACGTCCGCACGGAGTCGGAAGCGATTGCCACGTCAGCGCGGGTTTTCGCCGAGCAGTGGCTGCCCTGGATCGTGCCATATGGGATGGCGCGGCTTCTGGGGTCGTTCGTGCCAGCAGCCGCTACGGGATCCCAGAACAGCGAGATCCCGATGTCTAGCCAGAATGCCCTCGAGGTGACCTTCGGTGAGAGCACTTTGTCGAATCAGACTGCCCCTGAGACGGTTTTCTTCCCTCCTCCCGCCGCCCCTGCTCCCCGCGCCCCTTCCCCTCGCTCCTCCACCCCGCCTCCCCAGGGAAGTGCGTACTCAGTGGTCGAATCGACAGTGTGGAATGGACTGTGTCACCTAGCGTGCGACCCGAGGGTCATCGAGCAATTCGGGGTGGCAGGGCCGGCTGTGCTCATGCTGTCAGTCTTCGTGCGCAAACTCCAGGCCCGCGGGGCATGAGCCGGCAGACGGCCAGCAGGTGAACGCCATTGCTTTGGCATGAAGTACTGGCAATGCAGGGCTCACCCACGTCTTTTCAAGGGTTTTTCGGTTTTTGGGCTTCCCCAGAGAAAAGCGAGCAACCGATGGCGGTTGCCGTGTGTACGCCTATGCATGTACCTCTCCCTTTCCCTCCCCCTCGTGGCCTCCTCCCCTCTTCTGTGTGACGCTGTGCGCAAGACCGGAGTGATACGTTTGGGCCGAAATTCGTATCATCGGCTGGCTGGGAGGGCATGTGCAGTGAAGCGACGTGCACCCAGCATGCACCCGTCTCCGCCTCTTCCCTCGTTTATCTCCGTCGCGAGCGTTTTGTCGCAGAAGCGCTGGCTCGAGTAACAGTTGTGGCAAGGCGTGTTCAAAGACTAGTCACTCGAGCGCCCAATGGCCAGCGTGGAAAAATACATAAACACCAGTGCTGTCACATCGGGGCCAGCATGACGGAGGCAAGGGGGGTGCATCGTTGGCATCTTCGTCTTTGCTTTCAGCATTTGTTCATATCCCTTCAGATCCCAGAGGGAGGGATGGAGGGAGGGAGGGAGGGAGGGAGGGAGAAGGAGGAGAAGGAGGAGAAGGAGGAGGAGAGGAGGAGGGAGGAGAAGAGGAGGAGGAGGGAGGGAGGGAGGAGGAGGAGGAGGAGGAAGAGGAGGAGGAGGAGGAGGAGGAGAGGAGGAGGAGGAGGGAGGAGGAGGAGGAGGAGGAGGAGGAGGAGGGGAGGAGGAGGAGGAGGAGGAGGAGGAGAGGAGGAGGAGGAGGAGGAGGAGGAGGAGGAGGAGGAGGAGGAGGAGGAGGGGGAGGAGAAGGGGGAGGAGAAGTAGGAGGGAAGGAGGAGGAGGAGGAGGAGGAGGAGGAGGAGGAGGAGGAGGAGGAGGAGGAGGAGGAGGAGGAGGAGGAGGGCGAGCGGGAGGGGGAGGGGGAGGAGGAGGAGAAGGGGGAGGCGGAGGGGGGGGGGACAAGCCAGGTGCGCTCGCGTCATATCTGACATCCTACCCCTCCCTCCCATCCCTTACCATTGCGTAGATCCCCTCTCTACTCGCACAGTCGGATGGCGAGCAGGGCAATGATCCCGAAAGGGTACGCGATGCATTGTAGAGCACGGCGTGGCATGGCGTAGAAGAACACCCCAAAGCGTAGTATGTCACAGCATGGCGTCGCGTGGCGTAGTGAAGAATTGCATCACAAAGCTTTGCAACGCAAAGCATGGCATCGCACAGCGGCCCCGAACATAACATTGCATAGCATGGCGTTGGATATCAAAGCGTAGCATGGCATAGCACGGCGTGGCACATAAGCGTTGCATATCACAACTTCAGCTGAAGGCGTGGCATCGCTCAGCGGAACGCAACCTAGCATTGCATTGCATGCCGTGGCATGGCACGGGGAATGACGCCAGCGCTGCAGCGGGAGCACGATTCGGAACGAGCGGAAGCGCGGAAATGAGGCCAGCGCTGCAGCGGGAGCACGATTCGGAACGAGCGGAAGCACGGCAATGATGCCAGCGCTGCAGCGGGAGCACGATTCGGAACGAGCGGGGCCCGAAAATGAGGCTGGCGCCTCAGCGAGAGCAGCATTTTGACAAAAATGCAAGCGAAAACCCAACTCCGGGGAATCCTTTGTGTAAAAAACAATGCGCGCGGGGGGGGTGGGGGGCCAACACTCCCAACCCGTCATCAGGGGAAGGAGGAGAGTAGTATTCATATTGAGTAATTGTGGAGGGGGAGCGGAGGCGGAGGGCGGCGGAGGGTTCTGCCGGCTCCCGGTCAACGTGCACCTGGGCGCGCGGCAGATTCGCGCGCGCCGCCGGCGGAGGAGGAGGAGTGAGGAGGAGGAAGATGAGGAGGAGGAGGAGGAAGGAGGAGGAGGAGGAGGAGGAGGAGGAGGAGGAGGAGGAGGAGGAGGGAGAGGAGGAGGAGGAGGAGGGAGGAGGAGGAGGAGAGGAGGAGGAGGAGGAGGAGGGCGAGGGGAGGGGGAGGGGGAGTAGGAGGAGAAGGGGGAGGCGGAGGGGGGGGAGGAGGGGGAGGAGGTTCGACTATCGAGGATTGGGGATTGAGGTTCGAGGATCGAGGATCGAGGATCGACGAGGAGGAGGAGGACGAGGAGGAGGACGAGGAGGAGGAGGAGGAGGAGGAGGAGGAGGAGGAGGAAGTTCGAGGATCAAAGAGGAGGGTGAGGAGGCGATGAGCAGGAGGAGAAGCAGGAGGAGGAGGATGAGGATGAGGATGAGGATGAGGATGGTGCTGCTGCTGCTGATGCTGCTGATGATGCTGGTGATGATGCTGCTGCTGCTGATGATGATGAGGAGGAGGAGGAGGAGGAGGATGATGATGATGATGATGATGATGATGATGATGATGATGATGATGATGATGATGATGATGATGATGATGATGATGATGATGACGCAGCACCCCGCAATTGCGGATAAGAGTGAGGGGGCGGGCGCGGGCCACGCGGGCGTCCAGCCGGCGGACCTCGTGGCCTTCTTCTCCACCTGGAAGGAATTCAAAAACAGCCCGCCGCAGGCGCAGGTTCTCCACCTGGAACGAATGCAAAAGAAACCCGCCGCAGGCGCCGAAGTTTTGGCTTGTTCAGTGAACGTAGTTTGGGTCGCGGGTGGGTCGCGGGCTTTCCACCTCCACCTGGAAGGAATTCAAAAACAGCCCGCCGCAGGCGCCGAAAATTTTGATTTGTACAAAGAACGCGGTTTGGGTCGCGGGTGGGTCGCAGGTTCTCCACCTGGAACGGATGCAAAAAAAGTCCGCCGCAGGCGCCGACCATTTTGGGTGGGTCGCGGGGTGGGTCGCGGGTGGGTTGCGGGTGGGTCGCGGTGGGTCGCGGTTTGGGTCGCGGGCGCGGTTTGGGTCGCGGGTGGGTCGCAGGTTCTCCACCTGGAGCGCATGCAAAAGAAACATGCCGCAGGAGCCGAAAATTTTGGGTGGGTCGCGGGGTGTGTCGCGGGTGGGTTGCGGATGGGTCGCGGGGTGGGTGGCGGTTGGGTCGCGGGGTGGGTCGCGGGTGGGTCGCGGGTGGGTCGCGGGGTGTGTCGCGGGTTGGTCGCGGGGCGGGTCGCGGGTGGGACGACGACATCAACAAACAACAAACAACAAACAACAAACAACAACAATAAGTTGCATCGCGGAATTCAGTTTCAGCTACGCACCCAGGGACAGTGAATGACCGTTCGGTTCAGCCCCCTCACTGTGATAATGATGATGATGATGATGATGATGATGATGATGATGATGATGATGATGATGATGATGATGATGATGATGATGATGATGATGATGATGATGATGATGATGATGATTGTGGTGGTGGTGGTGATGATGATGATGCTGCTGATGATGATGGCGATGATGATGACGACGACGATAATGATGATGAGGAGGAGGAGGAGGACGAGGAGGAGGCGCCCCTGACTCCCAGTGTCGCCGTTGTCTTCCTGGCCGTGGCTGCCTTCGTTAGCGCCGTATCCCTGGAGACTACCCATCGACGAGTTGCTCGGAATCGAGGTCTTCAGACGTTCTCGTCGGTTCTCAGTGATTTTCCAGCCTCGGGGTGCGTTCCAGTGGCTGCGCCTCGCCGAGAGCTTTCCGAGGGTGCCCAGATTGCCCGGATCGTCCCGAACGGCCGCCGGAGACACCGAACCGAACGACGTCAGTGCTGAGTGCCCTGGTTGGTGCCGTGGGAGTTGGACTTGCTCTTATCTTGCTGTGTCCAGCAGCACAGTCAACCCGATAGATTCCCACGAGGTCGCGTATTGGCGATGCTATGCCACATAAGGAAGAGGGCACACGACAAGCAAGAAGAACACGACGTCATCATTGTCTTTCCAGTCGTCGCTGTCATGGCCGTCGTCGCTGTCGCCATCGCCTTCGCAATCCACGTTAATGATACCGGAGAAAGACCCAAATCATAGTATTCTTAGGGCTATAGGGCTATAGGGCTATAGGGCTATTGGGCTATAAGGCTATAAGGGCTATAAGGGTTACAAGGCTATAAGGCTATAGGGTTACAGGGCTACCGGGCACCCGGGCACCCGGGCACCCGCCATACCTCACCTAACCATATGAATCCGCTAGGACACCTACAGAGGCAAGCTCTGCTTTGGAAATATCACCCTTGTCGGTCGTGTTCGTTGCTCGTGGTGTTTGCCGTCGTTTGCGTTATCCACATCGCCATCACTGTCCTGTTCACCCTCGTCGCTCCTACCACCTAGTCGTCCGTATACTGTTCAACGATGGCCCGTTATCCTCGTCTTCATCGCCAGCGGCTGCGTCGTTCCCGTCAGCCCTGTACGTTGTACCCCCTGGAGGATGATAATCGTCAGGGCGTTCCCCACCCCACCCCGTGGGGGATCAGACTCGCGCCCCCGTCGCTGCACCACTTTAGGGGGGTCTGCCTTCGGCGTGCGTTGTTTGCTCGCGACGGGAACCAACTTTGGGCGTCGGCGCCGGCGGCACCCACCCTGCGATTGTCATGGAATGCGGAGTAGAATGGTTGACATGTCGGTTTCCAGGGCATCCTGGGGACTGGAGTGCAGCCATGTGCATTGCACTGGGAGGCGGCCGCTCTGTTCCAAGCCCTCATCCGAGATGACCTCTGGGACCAGTGGCTGGGAGGTTCTGCTGCTCTTCGGAGGCCGCCAACTCCACACCTACACCCATCCTGGCCATGTTGATCCTGGGCCGAGGATGGGTGTGGCCAGGACCGGTGGAAGTGTACAGCAGCTGGCGTCCTCCGATGGGTCTGCTGCTGTCCGTGCCCTCGTCAGCAGCCGCTTTTGCTTCGAGTTGTGGCCGCAGTGGCGCCCCCCCTCGAGGCCGCGCCGCACCGCCCTGCCGCAGCGCCCGCGCCCGTGCCAGCGCCGGGTCCGCCGAGAGGACGGGGGCCTTGGCTTTCAGGGAGCGAGCACCCTGCTCTTGGGACGGAAGCCCCCCCCGGAGAGCGCTCAAGGCTCA